TTAGGATGCCTGCAAAGGCTGGCGAAAGCCAGCGAGACACGCCCACAACTCATATCCACTACAACAAGCCATTATGCCCCAATAGGCCCCACCACCCCACCCCTAGGCAATGTAGCGCACATGTCTAGTCCGGAGAGGACGGGGGGGGGGGGGGGGGGGTAGGGGAAAACACTGTGCCGAGTATTTTGGATTAAAGCAATTTTTTTTTTTTGCAACTAGTCACACACACACACACACACACACACACACACACACACACACACACACACACACACACACACACCGCTCACCCACGCGCACCGGGCCTTGCACTTTAAATGCCGTGGGGCTCCTGTCGTTAGACGTGGAGATGCGAGGGTTGCCCCCCCTTGCCCCACCACCTCGTGTGTGTGGAGAAGTTTACCTTACCTTACCTTACCTTCTCCACGCAGGCACGCTACGCGTCCGAGAGTTCCCTCGCAGCGCGAGTCCGTTCCACACCCCTCCTCACGGCTCCTCACCTTCTCTGGACTATCTGCTTCTCTGACGACCTCGCTGTCCCAGCTCGCTCTCTCGTCTCACACTCATCACTCTCTCACAAGCTCTGCAGTCTGCTCACGTGCGCTTCTCTCGACGACTGTCGACTCACAACTTTGAGATCTGGAATGCCTTGTGGCCACCAACCCCCCCCCAGGAGCGAGGTGCAGCGCCCCCCGGGGCTTGGCGCTCAGTGCAGGAGCGCCTCACGCGTCATGGCCTCGCGCACATCTGCATGCATGTTCATGTAGGATCGGTCGCTGTGTTCGCTCAGCGCCGAGAGCCACGCTACAGCGGCGCGGCGCGGCCGCGCCAGAACTGGCGGCCTGGGGTGGGATGGGGCGACGGAGGGGTGGTTAGGGTGTGCGCGGGCCGCCGCAGCCACCCTGGGCCGCGCGGGTGGAGGGCGCTGGTGCATCTAGGATCCCGGCCGTAATGCCAGACGAGCTCGTCTCCCGCCTCGACGTCAGTGCTGGTGAACAGCATCGCGCGCCCGCCTCCCCCTTTGCCCCACCACTTTGTGTGTGTGGAGACGTTTACCTGTGGTACCATTGGCGCGCGAGAGCGCGATGAATGCCGCCTTCGCCGTGGTGCGGGGGGGAAAGCCAGCGGGCGACAATTCGCGCCAACCGCACGCCTCGAACTGCTTGAGCCACCAACCGCGAGGCTGCACCGTGAGGTGGAGTGTAAGCTCCGCGCCGTCCAGCGACATCTTCCGCCCCTCGGGAACCGTGGAGATGCGGAGGAAGAGGAGGGAGCGGACGACGCGCGAGACCTCGGCAACAACGCGCGGGACGTCGGCGGGGCGAAGGTGCTCGAGGACGTCTGCCGACACGCCCGCTTCGAAGAAGGCGTCGGCAAAGGGGAGCGCCGTGAGGCTCGCGCGCTGGAGGCAGGCCGGGGCGCCACCATGCGTCGCGCAGCGCCGGCCGCGGCCTAGTTGGAGCGCCTGCTCAATCGACGCGCCAGAGACGTCAACGCCGTAGGCATCGAAGCCGGCGTCGGCGAACGCCTCGACGCCGTGACCAAGCGAGCAGCCGAGCGACACGAGCCGGATGCCCGTGCGCGCGCCGTAGTGCCGCCGGAGGTGCGGCGCCAGCGCAGCCTCTAACGAACGGTTCGGGTCATGGTACGCATGCGCGCGGTCGAGGCGGTCGTAGACCTTGTAAGCGTCGGGCGTCCCGATTGGTTCGCCAACGTCGGGCGTCCCGATTGGTGCGCCAACGCGGTGGCCCTCGAGCCCGAGGCCCAGGAACGGAGAGAGCGAGTAGATGAGCAAGCCCGGGTACCGCGCCTGGAGGAGGTCGCGGAGAACGAGCGTGTCGTGGGTGATGTTGATTGCACCAATGTCGCCCGATAACCACGCGGCGTAGGCGGCGCGGCCTGTGACGCTGCCACGGCGCGACTTGCGGGGCAGCGCCCAGGACTGGGCCAGCGTCGCGCTGTCGTGGTAGCCGCCGAAGTTTGCCTCGCCGTCGAGAAGCGCAAGGTCGTGGCCGCAGACGATGATGCGCGCCGCGCCGAGGTGAGCCGCGAGGTGGATCGCCGTCGTGATTGTCGAGTCGCTGACGACAAGCCGGTCGCCGGGCGGCGGCAGGCCCTCGAGCCGCGAGCCGTTGCAACGCTGTGTGTGACACGCGTGGTCCGCCACGACGATGCGGCCCGCGTCCAGCTCGGCGCTGAAATGCGTTAGGGCCGTGCGCGCGTTCTTCCAGCCCTGGCCGCCCTTGTGGCCGCGCGTGACGACGTGCGTCGTGCGGTTGCCCGCGGCTGCCAGGATGTCGCGGAACGCGTGCGGCTCCAGGTCCTTGCGCACGAGGTAGGTGAGTGCCCTGACGTGCCGGTTGACCTGGTTGACGCCGACGGTGACGCGGCCGCGGAAGAACGCCGGGTCCACGAAGCCGAGCGTTCGACCCGATCCGAGCACGTAGACGTCGGCACCCGCATGCCGGCCCTCCAGCGCGCGCAACGTCGTCCGCGCCGCGCGCTTTTCGAGCGATTCGCGCGTTGAGAGGTCGCGCCGCCGCCGCACAACGGCTGGCGCCCAACGCAGCGCATTCGCCGCCGCAACGGCCGCGAGCCGCCGCTGCGCGTCGACAAGCGCCGCGTGTACGGCGCTGCGGTTCGCATCGATGGCGTCAAGCACGCCCGTCAGCTCCTCGGCGAGGCCCGGGCCGCCGCGCAGCCGCCGCGCGGGCGCCAGCTCCACGGCCCACTCCGGGTGCCCGACGTCGCGCGCGAACGCGCGGACCTTCTCGTGCGTCACGAGCGAGATCGTCGCGACGTGGAGGCCGAAGGGAATCATGACGCCGTGGCCGCGGCTCGAGGCCGCCACCGTGACGCTGCGGTAGTAGTCGACGACCTGCAGCCAGTCGCGCTGCGAGGGCTGCGGGCCGTCTCCTCGGCGTCTTCGCGTATTCGCGTTGAAAGTTATCGTCTCAAACGGGAACGCGCGCGTCCCCTGGAGGCGGTGGAGGAGGCGCCGGTCCGACGTCGCCTGGAGGACGACGTGGACGGTCCAGCCCGCGGCGTGCGCGCCCGCGAGCCAGGCCTCGAGCGCCGCGAGCACCGCCTCCTGGTCCGCCGGCGGCCCGAGCCGGAGGCCGAGCTCGTCGTCCGCGAGGTTGACCGCGAGCACGCCGCGGCCGCCGGCACCGGCGCGCGGCGTGCGGAGGAGCGACTCGGACGCGAGGCACGGCTGGAGCGTCGCGAGCAGGGTCGTCGCGCAGGACTGGTAGTGGAGCGGCAGGTCCGGCGCTTGCGCGGCGACGGCGCTGAGGCTGTAGGACTCGCGGAGCGTCACGTAGCCGCCGCCGTGCGCGCGCGCGGCGAGCGCGGCGAGCGACGCGAGGTATGCGGCCCACTGCGCGGCGGGCGGCTCGGCCTGACCGCGGAACGCGTTCCAGCCCACTGCGAACAGGAACACGGGCGCCTCGAACCCCAGCAGGTGCGCGCGGTGCACGGGCCACTGCCAGCCCGACACGTTCTGGCGCGCGTGCGCGTTCGCCGGGTAAAACAGACCGCCGCCGCCGACGAGCACCGCGCTCGCGGCGGCGTCCGCATCCTCGACGTCGCGCGCGGACGTCGGCACCCGGACCTCGCGAAGCGCCCAGGCCGGCGCCGCGCCGAAGAAGTACTCGACGGCCATGCGCGTCGCGCGCGGCAGGACGCTGTCGCCGGCGTTCTTCTGGACGCCCGTCGTCGAGTAGTGCACGAACGTGCCCAGGCCCCGCCGCCCGGTATCGCAGAGCGGCGCGAACCGCCCCGCCGCGTCCGCCGCACCGACGAGCTCGCAGAACGACGCCGCGCGCCATGATAGCGGCCCTGCGCACGCGGCTGGCGCGACCGGCGCGCGCCGGAACGCGTGGAGCGCAACGCCGTCCCACGCGGCTAGCGCGTCGTCGAGCCCGGCCGCGCGCGGCACCGGCGCGGCCAGCGCGGCGCCATGGAGGACGAGCATATACACCCAGACACCCAGACACCTGTAGGGGGGGTGTTGGTCCCAACGGCGCCTCTTTGCGTTGGTTGGGCCCGAAATTCTTTTTGCTCTGAGGAAGCCGTCGCCCGCGCCTCGCCTGTCGCGTGAATCGTGTCGTGCGACCGCCTTGTCTTGTTCTAAAATTCTTTTTGGCGGGGGCGGGCGGGTGCACGGAGCTAAGTGCCTCGCCGCCCTCGCAGGAGTCGCTTAGGCGGCTCCCGTGGTGTACCTGTGTTCGTGCCAGTGCGCGCCAGTCCCGTGCCTAGTCCCGAGTGAATCGCGTTCTAAAATTCTTTTGGCGGCGGGCGGGGCGGCAGCCGTCGGAACGCCGGCGGGGGCGGTGCTCGAGCGAGCGGGCGCGAAGGCCGGGCGAGGCGGCGGGCGGCGGGCGGGGCGGCGGGCGAGGTGGCTGGCGTCGTGTGCGCGCGTCGGGGAGTCGGCGCGGGTGGCAGGCGCAGGCGCGCGGGTGGGGATTGGGCGAGGGGCGGAGCCGGGAGCGGCTCGCGGGTTGGTCCGGTGGGGCGGGGCGGGGCGGGGCGGGGTGGATCGGGTCGGGTCGGGTTGGGGCGGGGTTGCTCGGGTCGGGGGGGGGGCGGGGTTGTGGGGTGGGGTGGGGATGTCGGGGTGGAGAGTGGGTGGGCGCCGGGGTGGGAGTGGTGTGACTGCTCCTGTGGTGCGGGCGACGGCTTCTGAGGAAGCCGTCGCGTGAATCGTGTCGTGCGACCGCCTTTGGTTGTAAAATTCTTTTTGCTTGACAAGGACGTCGACGTGCGGCTGCTGCTGTTCGAGTCGTTCGGTGGGTTTGGAAGGGGGTCGGCGAGATCCTCTGGGGGGCAGCGAACGTGCTGCAGAACAAGCTGACGCGGGCTCAGTACCTCGAGAGAGAGAGTGTTTTTGTTTTGTACCTCGATGAGGTGACTTGGACCTACCACCAAGAGCTGGCTGGGGCTGCAGAAGCAGCGCATCTCAGTCGTTCTTCACACGGCCATCGCAGAGCAGATTGTGAATGAGCTTGCCAGCGGCGAGGGCGGTCGAGTGCACGGAGCTAAGTGCCTCGCCGTCCTCGCGGGAGTCGCTTAGGCGGCTCCAGTGGTGTACCTGTGTTAGTGCCAGTGCGCGCCAGTCCCGTGCCCAGTGTTGTGCGAGGGCGTTGCTTGGTAAAATTCTTTTTTGCTTGCTTCACGAGTGCTCTGACGGCGCTTCACCGTCTCTCTCAGCCCACTCAGATGGACGTCCCGCGCCCAGCCTACGTCCCCTTCGCTCTCTCGGACGAGCAGTACGCCGCCATCCTGCGCGCGCCCGAGGCGCACCGCCGGTACGGCGTCCTTTCGCAGGCTCCGCCGGGCGCCTCGTCGTTTGGCACGCTCTACCTCCTCCGGCAGCAGGCGCCGGAGGAGGGCGCGCGGCCGGCGGCGCGAGCCGCGGCGAGCACCCGGCTGCTCTCCGATGGCGTCACCACGCTCGCGCGTCGCGCGCCTTCCAAGCAAGGCGCCGGGAGCGCCGCCTCCATTGCGGCGCGGCCGGTGCGCGCCTTCTCCCTCTTTGTGCGCGCGCAGTCCGAGTCGCTCAAGCGCACGCAGCCCGACCAGGGCGCTGCCGCCGTCCGCAAGGCGGTGGAGGCGAGCTGGCAGTCCCTCTCCGATGCCCAGCGAGCGGTCTACGTGCAGGCCGCGCGCGAGCACAATGCCGGCATCCGCAAGAGGCAGGCCTTGGCGCCACCGAGCCAGCTGTGCACGCGGCACGAGCTCTGGCTCGAGGGCGGCGCCGCCAGCCCATTCTCCTCGTTGCTCCCCTCCTCCTCCTCCGCGCCGCCGCCGCGCCCCCAGCTCGTCCTCGTGCACGTGCTCGGCGAGCCCGCGATGCAGACCCTCACCGCGCCGCCAGTGGCAGTGCAGACCGCGGGCGCGCCAGCGCCGGCAGACGTGAGGACGATGCAGCTCCGCCTCGCGTGGCAGCCGGACCCGAGCATGATGGCCGCCGCCGCGCGGGCGCCCCAGATGATGGGCGCACAGCCGCGGACCGTGCAGACCGCGATTGTGCCTCCCGGCGGGCTGAGCGCGGCGGCGGCACTGCCCGCCTCGGCCGTGCTCCCCGGGGGCTGCCTTGCTCCACCGCCGCCCCTCGCCGTCGTGGAGCCCGCCCCTCACCCATCCGCGCCGCCGACTCCTTCTCGCCGCCCCCCTCTGCCGCCCCGGCAGTCGCCCCGTCCCGGTTCGTCGCTGGCGCCGCCAGCTCAAGCCGGCAACACGACCACGGAGCAGGCAGGGGGGCAGCGAGAAGTTTGATGTTGCTTACGCGATTGCCGACTGAGCGCTGTGTCCAATTCGAACTCGGCGTCCGATCTCGATGATCAGCATTCCGCTTGCGAGAGAGAGAGAGCGGGTCGCATCACAAACCGCTTCCACGGCCGTTCGATTCATGGGATGGCTGGCAGCATCATCCGACTTGGGCAAAAGCAGGGGAGGGAGAGGGGGCGGAGTGAAGACGGCCGCTGGCTACACCGGCGCGAATGCAACGAGGGCAGCGGGCCACAGCACAGGCTTATATGTGAGAGGGAAGAGCCAGAAGCCGTCTTCATTTGACCTGCGAGTCTCCGACTTCAAGAAGATTCCCGGCTTCAACTATGTGCTGTGTACGTGTCGACAGAGGACGAGCACACGTACAACTCACATGAGGTAGGTTGATGTTATTACACAGTAGTCGAACTTGAGGGCAAAAAAGAGAATATATATTTCCCCCTCTGATGGTCCTGTGCCGCCGGCGCGCGCCGCCGCCGGCCTGCGGTGCAAAAGCCTGTCTTGAGATTCTGTGCAGCGGCGGGTAACGCCAGCCAGCGCGGTGGTCTCTGGGCGCGACGCGCGAGAAGCAGCGCTGTCAGCGTCGCGCAGGCAGGAGGCTGCCGGGGAGGCAAGGGGATGCGGGCGCGCGAAAGCTGCGAGTGGAGGCTCGGCGGTGTGAGGAGGAAGGCGGCGGCGCGCTGCCTGCACCGGCCTCTCGGGCCTTGCCAAAAAAGAAACAAGCACGGGCACACTAAGTTTCGATTAGTCACCTCACAACGCTTTTTGCGCGCAAGAGAGTGCGTGAGAGAGACACGGCTCGATGCCGCTCCTCGTCTACTTCGCGCGCCGGTGGCGTGTCGCGCCGCGTCGTTTGCTTGATGGCCGCGCCCACACCGGCAGCAGCGCCATGGAACGCCCTACAGCTACACGCCGCTGCGGATATCATACGCGTGGGTCTTTTCACCAGCACGCTATACCAACCCCCCTCTGAGCCGTCTCTCCCACCTCCCCCAGAGCTCGAGGTCGCTCCGCAGGATGCGTCTCACGGCCGCAGCCTCGTCCTCCGGCAAGGCCCCATGGCGCTTGCTGGTGCTGCCGCCGGTGCTGCCGGCCGCCGCCAACCGCGGCCCCTTTTGCGCCGCCAGCCATGGGTCGTCAAGCCACGCGCCTAAGGTTCGGAGAGAGCCAAAGCTGCCAGCGCTGCACACCGCAGCTGAAGCGCGGGCCCGCTTCACCCAGCCGCGCAAAGGGGCGCTCCGCCGCCAAGTCCACCTCGGTGGGTGAGGGAGGCGGGAGGGCTGAGGAAGAGGGCGATCGTGGCACGTAAAGTAGTAGGCCAGGAAGTCGAGGTGGCAAGGGGGCGAGCGGTCGAGGGGGCGAGAGGGCGGGCAAGGCGAGGCGGGTGGATGCCGCACCTCGACCAGCATCACAAAGATGGACCGCAAGTACGCATCCGCCAGCTGCGGGGGCGGGGGAGGGGTGGGTGACGTCCATCGGGCGTGCGCTTTGCGGCCACGGGTGCGAGAGCGGGCCGCCTCGACCGCCGCATTCTTGGCGCTCTGCGAGCGGCGCCAGAGGTCGGCCGACTGGGCCGCGAGCAGGTGGGCGCCCTTTGGCGCAAAGGTCTGCGTGTAGACGTCGCCGACGTACGCGCCGTAGGCGGCCTACTCGCACGCAACTGTGATGGCGACGGCCTCCACTCGCGCGCACTTGAGTCGCAGGTTTGCGCGCGAGGCTCATATTTGGGCAGGCGAGCCGCGCGTCCGCTTCCTCGCCGCACTGGCGGCCAGCGCCGCCGCAGCTGACGCAGTGGAAGGCGTGCACGGAGAGGAGGCGGTCGATCGGGTGGCGCAGCATCGTGAAGTAGCGGCACGGCCGACTCGGCGGCGCGCGCTCGCAAAAGTGGACCGACGGGCGTTGGCGGTTGGTGAGCAGGCAGTGCAACTGCTCCGTCCCCTCGAGCTCGTAGCAGCTCGGGCCGTTCCACGTCGCAGCGTACCTACGCACCTAAGCGCTTCGGCTGGCTTGGGCAGCGAGGAGGACCTAGGCAGGGCGCTGTGGCACGCACGGCTCGACGTAGAGCGCCA